ACCAGCCTCCTCTCGGAACTTACCTTCCAGTGAGGAGGGCAGAAAATATAAAAGTAATTGCAATCAAATGGGTTGAGTACAACGACCAGGAAGCACAGAATATTATGGGACGTCCAGCTGAAAGATCTGGACCATCTCCCGAAGAGAAAGAAGTCCCTGAAGGTGTTTAAGTATGGGAGGGGATGAGAGTGGGTGGCCTTGTAGAACGTGGCCACAGCATAAAACCTGGAGTGGGTGAAGGCAGGTCAGGCGGCTGGGAGCTGCCCATAAGGTCAGGGAGAAGGAGGCAGCCTGGGCTAAGGGGGAGGGGGGAGGGGGGAGAGGGGCAGGTGTGAAGGCTGCTGAGGGGGGAAAGGGGTGGCATTTTGAGACAGACTGATGGGAAGGGGCGAGGTGAGGGGGGGTCATCATCGAGGGTCCAGTTCTTGAGCTGAGGGTGCCTGGGAGGTTGAGGGTGCCAGATGCCAAGACGGTGGGCGAATGTGGGGAAGGAGTGGGTTTGTTGTGAGCTCAGGTAGAAGTAGAAGAAGAGTTTCAGGCACGCTGGGTAGGAGGGGTCTGAGCTGCCCCAGCGGTGGCCACGGTGGTGGGGGTGGGGTGCGTGGTGGTGCGGGCAGCAGAATGAGCTGCAGGAGTTAGTGGGAGTTGGCAAGCGGGATGGCCCTAGGCGCGCTGAAGCCCCCCAGAGGTGGGCGGGGGGGGGGTCAGACAGCACCCTGGGCGATGCTTGGGGAGGTGCCACGATCGAGGATGGTGATAAGCGGTGGGGTTGGCAAAGGAGGCTGAGAAGGAGCAGCCTGCTCTGTAGGCGGGCAAGTAGGGAGAGACCAGGGGAGCTGCCATCAGGGAAGCCAAGGGGAAAGTGCGGCCAAGAGGCAAATGCCACCAGGAGGCTGGATGAGACCAGGACAACGTCCGGCAGGGCCAGCATCAAGCCAGAGCGGCGACAGTCGAGTGGCAGAGGACACAGCCTGAAGTCTGGGTGGAGGAGTGAGAGGGAGGTGAGGGCAAGGAGACACCACGTGTAGACAGCTCTCAGTGGTCACGTGGGGTCCAAAAGGAGGAGGAAGCGGCCCCTCCCACGCAGGAGAGAGCTGAACCTCGCGTCCAGCAGGCAGTGCCGTGCCGGGTCCGTTTGTTAACACACGACACTCAGCACGCCCGGTGGCCTTCCTGCACTGCCTTGCCAAAAGGGACCACAGAAGACTCCCCAGTCTCCAAACTGGAGGGGCTGCTGGGATGGCAGGGAGGCCAGAGTTGGAGGCCGTGTCCCCAGCTCCGACCAGGGCCACATACCCTTATCTGTTTACATGCCTGGGCTCTGTCACTGGCTATCATTTGAGGAAACTGCTCTAGGGGCTCCTGGGTGGCTCAGTCGGTTAAGCGTCTGACTTTGGCTCAGGTCAGGATCTCACGTTCCTGGGTTCGAGCCCCGCATCGGGCTCTGTGCTAACAGCTCAGAGCCTGGAGCCTGCTTCAGAGTCCATGTCTCCCTCTCACTCTGCCCCTCCACCGCTCATGCTCAGTTTCTCTCTGTCTCAATAACAACACATAAAAATATAAAAATAAATGAATGAATGAAGAAACTGCTCTCTACCTCCGAAAAACCATTGAAACGCCATCAGTCTAGTCAGATTAGAGATGGGGAAACCGAGGCCCAGAGAGGAGGAAGCGTACCCAGGATCCTCGTGAGTCAGCCACGGAGACAGAACCTAGCACAGCCCTGGGGCTCCTACTTCGCTTTGCTCTCGACAACCCCACGGTCCCTAGGAAGAGAAGGGCCACGCCAAGCCGACGCCGGGGCCACACAGAGCCGCTATCTGAGGCAGAGCCTGGTGGCCAGTGAAGACAGACACAGCCGGGAGAGGAAACACTAAACGACGCGCCGCGTGCAGCACCTGCCACTGAGGTGGCCCAAGGCGCGCCACCTGAGCTGCTTGCCCCCGGCGGCAGGCCTGCCCAGCCTGCCCCACGACGGCCACAGAGCCACCTACCGGGCCCTGCCGCCCCCTCGGCGGGCCGGCCTCAGCCGGGTAGCCCACCGCCCCGCAGGCCCCTTCCTTCTCCCAGCCTGCTCAGACAAGCCCATGAATAGAACATTAAAGGCAAAACCTTCTAAAGGAAAAAGCAGCTCCCTGGTAGGAGTCGCCCCACTAAATGTCAAACACAGAGCAAGGCTTCCTGCCTTGTGCGCCTCTCACTAATGGAGGCACCTTAGCCTCCGTATCCCCACCATCCAATCGCCCTATAAATAAATCATTGCGAGAAGAATGCCAATTTTCCCCCGAGGGCCTCATGAATCTCTCTCTATAAGCATATGTAAAGGCCCCCTTCACTATGTGTTGGCACGAGAGCCCAGAGAGAGATGGCAGGCTCTGCGAGGGCAATTTTAGAGGCAGAAGCAAACTTTCACACCACCTCAGTGGGTTGAGAGCGGGAGCCCAGCTTTTCTCCTGCTGCAGGGAAGGCTCTTCCTCAATTTCCCGTGGACGCACGCGGACCATGCTGCCCCCGCCCTCTGGAATCAGCCCAGGAAGCTCCCAAGACACCCATCTCCGAGGCCGGAGGAGGTCTGGCCCCTAGAAAATACCCAGTGCCCCCAGCCGTGTGGGTGAGCCACATGCCAGCTCCCGGAGCCTGGTCACCGCCATGTGATGCCCGGAGCACAGGCTCACTCACCCCTGGACCCCCCACTGAGCAGCTCGCCAGCTCACCAATGGCACCACCAGCGGACCCGAGGCGTGAGCGCCGACGTAGGCTCCAGGGCCGGTAGGTCGGCACGTGCACTCAGCAGACTTCTGGCTCGCACACATCCGGAGCCTGTTGCACGCTTGCCAGGTGTGTTTCTGCACGCACGCACACACACACACACACACACACACACACATGCACACACATACCATATTGTGCCAACACAGAGGCCTCCAGAGCAACTCCGCTGAATCAGATAGCAGGGCTGTTTGCTGTTTTGGATCCCAACTTCGCTGACTGATTAGACAATAATCACAGGCTCGGAAGCACCAGTGAATCTGTGAGATCAGACACCCTGCTTCACCATGGTTGATGGGAGCTCTCGCTCGGCGGATTCAAACATGGTCTGAAGGGGGTGGGAGAAGTCGCTTCTAGAAGACCGCTCTGAGCTCTGGATTACAGTCCAGCTAACAGGCTAGGGCTGGGCCCTGGGAGCACCACCCCAGGAGGGAGGGAGAACCCTAGAGGTGGGAGGCAGGTACAGGTGGCCCACCCACCACCTGGGCCACATCCTGGAGCCATTGCTCTCCACAGAAGCACCAGCCAATCTGGAGCGTGGATGTTAACAGGTCTACCAGGTTAGCCGGGAAGAGCAACATAGGGGGAAGATCCAGCCCCCAAATAAACCGTGTCCCAGCCTTTCTCAAGGGCATGAAAGCAGGTGCTGGGCCGCTGGCCCCTGTGTGTAATGAAGAAACCACAGCAGAAGGCAGTAGGTGAGGGTGTGTCTGGCCCCATTCAAAGAGGGGCAGGGAAGAGGAGGACTGGTGGGATGGAGACTCAGGGTCCCCGAGCCCCAGGTACCAGCCAGAGATGCTCCTGGGGGTACTCCAGAAGGGGAGTGCATGGCAACTAGCAGGGAGCTCTGTAACAAGATACAAAAGATTCATCAGTGTCCAGCACCCCGCAAGACAAATGTCATAGAAATTCAAGGCAGATGGGCACGTGAGACGGCGCAGCTTAGGGGTTAAGAGAGCAAGTGAAAGAGTGTGGTAGCAGACAGATCTGGGACTGCACTCTGACTCACCAGTGTGCCAGCTGAGTGACCCAGGACAAGGGACTTCATTTATTGTGCCTCAGTTTCCCTATCTGCATAGCAGGGACAGGTACAGACTGACCTCAAAGGGTGATTATGGAGATTACATGACATGAGGCGTGGAGTACACCTAGCTTGGCACATCAGTAATTACGGGCAGCTATTGCCACTGCATGGACTGGGACTGGCACAAGTGGACCTTTGCTGCCCCCGTTTCCAGCTAGCATCCATATCTCCTCTCAGTGGGTTCAACCACGCACGCTCTGAGACCCGAGGTGGCTTTGCCTTGTCCTGGTGATGGACACCAAGTCAGTGTGTCTCCTCTCCCCAATTCAAAGGCATCCAAGGAAGTCCCTGCTCTGGGCCCCCTTAACCTTGGAGCGCATGTCTCCCTAGGTCTTCTCCCAGGCCCTGAGGAAGCCCTCAGCCTGAAGTCCCTGCCCCACTCCTCTCTCTGACTCACTTCTACTCAGGGTGGCCTGGCCAGCGCACCCGAGAAAGGGCTGCTTCCGGCATTCTGCGCGGAGGTCCTGCCTTCTGCTGTCCCTGGAGGCTCTGTTCCCGTTTCACCAGCTATTTTGCTTCCTTGGCCATCTGTTCTCTCCCTGTCATCTCCTCTCTGTTTTAACCTTAACCACTACTTTGCTGCAGATGGTACCAAACAGATCCGTTCTTGACATCCTTCATGATGCCTGCCCCCTCCTTCTCATCTCCAGCAAGGGAACTTCTGCTCTGTCCTTTTTCAGGCTGTGACTCCAAAGCTCAGAGTTGGATTTGCCCCACAAGCCTCTGTCCTCAGCCTCATCTGCTCAACTATGCCACAGGTCAGGGGACAGACACCTACCCTTTCCCCTGCCTTTTCCTCTTCCTAACAAGACTTCCCCTTTTCAAACCTGGCCAAGAACCTCTCCTGGTGTCAAGTCCACCGTCTGCTCCAGTTATCTACCCGGTGTCCATAAATAGTGCCCTTGAACCCTCCAGAGGGCTCAGGGGCTCAGGAGCAGCAGCCCGAGACGGAGACCGCAGGCTCCAGGATTCCTTCCTGCGGTGCAGAAGCCAGTGTGCCCATCCTGCAAGTTTGGGTTCAGAACAGTTTGTCTGTCGAAAATGGACCTGAGAGCTGCAGTGAGGCTTTGGCCACGCATCGGCATGACAGGAATCGAACCAAAACACATTTTCTGTGTGGTGGGAGCTCACAAGGGAAACAATGCACTGCTTTCCTTGCTTTTATTCTGGCTACGGGTGAGAAAATGCATGCATGGGCTTTATTTAGCAGCTCTCCCTGCCTCTCTTCTTCTGTTGATGCGTCCGGGTGCTCCCCTAAAATTCTTCCTCTTGGCTTCTCTTTTCTGGCATGAGGACCAGGAGCTTTGAGGAGAGAAGCAGTCCAGAGGCTCCCAATGATAGAAGCTGTTCTGGTCACATTGGGTCCACCAGGCTGCGTCCCCTGGGCGGGACAGGATTGGGCTGGGAAGACAAATTCCATTTCTGCACTGAGATTTGGGATACAACAGCCTCATATCTCAACCCTCTGCAGCAGGGCTCTTGTATTTCCCGTCTACACTTCCTCTGCAGCGGAAAGGAAAGTGTCTTGGCTGTCTGTGGAACACTCCTCCCTTCTCCTCTGGATTAGAGCTAAAGAGGGCCACAGTGTGGACACCTCCAAGAGATGGGGCCTGCTTACACCTGGCCCCGCGGAGACTCTCAGGTCGCCTGGGGAACCTCTGCGTTCAAACGAACGAAGCCCTGACCACCCCATGGTCCCTTCCTCCGCCTCCCCTTCTTCTTCACACAAAGGAGACCCAATCCTGCCACCAGGCCAGGCCATCAGGCTATGGGAACCAAAAGAACAAAATGCATCTTACTGGATTGGAGACCTTAATCTAGCTCTTGCTGAATTATTCAAAGATGGCATTAACTTATAAATGAGTGTGTTTGACTGATTTTGTGGTTGATGTACAGATAAATTCTAATGAAAGACAGCTACACGATTTTAAATTATTAATTAGACTGCCACTTAACAAAGCCTATTTGGCACTCTATTTCCTTGCTTAACAAGACAAAAACTTTAAGGATAGGTTCTTTATTAGCCCCGAGGCTGTTGATTTGCATTCTGTTTTTAGAGCTCTAAAAATGAAAACCATAGATCCTGACCTTAAGCAGGCCACTTCTGGCAAAACAAAACCCCCAGCAGGCTGCTCCTTCTTTCTGGATGGTGCTGGGTGGCTCGGGGCCTGGCTTGCTCTGCTTGCCTCTCATCTCTGACCAGAAGCTTGCGTTTTATATCCCTGGTTCTGCCAGGGTAGGCCAGGAGATGGAAAAGAGGCCAGGCAGCTGCTGAAGCCTTCAGCTACCAGCACTGTCAGCAGCAGGATCCAGTGACGACTCAGGCTGTTCTGGTTCACAGAGGTGGGGCTGTGGCCAGTAGAGTCCTCTCCTTAAGGGACACAAGGCAGCACGTGTGATTGCTAAAATGTCCTACCAGGAGACGGGAGCCACCTTGCTGTAATAGGACAATCAGAAATCAGAGCAATGACCCTCATGACCTAATGCCTGCACTCGCCGCCTTCCTCCTCTGGGGCTTCAGACCACCGAGCCTCCTAAATCCACAAAGCACTCCACTGTCAAGACCATGAGCCCAGCCCTTTACAGACAAGAGGGTTTTTCTCTTCCGCCCTACCCCCAGGACCTAGGGATGGCTGCTCTTTCTTTTCTCAAACCCCTTCCCAAATCCGGACTGTAAAACTCCCTCAGGTCCAGGGCCCATGCAGGGCTCTGCCGCTGATAGGCAGGGAGACTGCAACAATCGTCTGAACCCATCCTGTAACATTTTGCTTGGAGCTCTAGGGAACAATTCGAGAAACAAAAACTTCAATGGCCACCTCCCTTGGCATTGGCCTCAGGCATACCTTTGGCTTTCAGCACACACCTAGAACCCACACAGAGCATCTGAGTGTCTTATACATGTGTGCAAAAGAAACAAGTCCTAGTGATCACAATCAGGGACAGAGAGAGAAGAATGCCCAGCAAAGGACCAAAATAAAAGTCTTTTGCCCGCACAATGTCCCAGCAGAAGGCTGCAGACCACTGGAGCCGAGCATAGCCCATCAAAAGGTTTTTCTGCTCTGTTCCCCCCACCCCCCAATCCAGGTGGAAACCTCTTTGTTGGAAGGACCTCTCTCATCAACCAAGCCATGCAGGAAGGGAAAAATAGCCCGAGTGGTGAACACACATGACTGCCAAGCCTCCACTGGCCACCTCTTGAGCGGGGTAAGTGAGCCTCTGCCACCGGGAGTGGCCCCCAGGATGCACTGGGCTCATTCCAGGTCGGGTCTCTGGATGGGAGAGACAGGCTCCCGGAGGCTACTCGAGCCTCCCTGGGCACCTAAGCCATATAAATAAAGTGCACGGGCTGCTTTGTGGCTCACTTTAAAATATAAACTGCCAAAAGACAACAGGCCACAACAAAAATGAGATGTCAGTTCCCCTCTATTATCTCCATCACAAACCAGGCAACCCGGACATGGCGGCTTTTTAAAACTGCCTGGGAGGCCTTATGCGCCAGGGCAAGTCTGCACCCTCCAGGCCGAAGCTTCTCAGACCCGGGTTTCTGCTCTGGTCTCTAAAAAGCACCCTCTGTGTGCAGACACTCAGGCCGGCACCGCTAGCTGCTGAAAGGACTTTTAGTCCTTTTCTGCAGGGAAAAGGAACCGGGTGTAGCAGTAAAGTGGTTTCTCCAAAGAGCCGCAGAGACTTTTCCCACACCACAGTACAAGGCAGCCAGCATTTCCCCCGCACTGCCCAGGCCCACGTGGAGGGCACAAGTCACACACAAGTTTGTGACTACTGACACAATGGGGCAACCCAGGCTTCCCGGTAGGCCTGAGCAAGCCGGGACCACCACAGAGCCTTTACTGCCACCAGCGAAGGTGTGGTTTCTTCACCCACCTGTCCCACCTGCTTGTGGGCTCTCTTCCATGCCCCCCGCACCTGCTCCCCTCCGCCCATCTTGGGGCTTCGCTTCCCATTCCTCCGCCACCTCCCCCTGCCCGTTTTCTCCTTTCCCATCCTACTGTGAGGTCAGAATCCAGTGCTTACGACACCTCGGTCTGTTGCCATGGAAACAGGGGCGGATTAAGGCAGGAGCGCTGAGCGCAGGGATCAGGCCCCTCAGCTACCTGAGCTCCCGCCTCAGCCGGCTCCCGCAGGGCCCCGGCTGCCAGACCCAGGCGCCGCGACTCGCCGGTCACCCGGCCGGGTCCAGGGACCGGAGGGTCCCAGCGGAGCGCCGCGGTTCGCCCGGACCTGGGAAGGGAGGGAGGCAGACGCAGAAGCCGGGGTGGCTGGAGACGGGGCTTGCGGGCTCACGGCGTGGTCACCTGCCCTCCCTGGGCCCTGGGGACAGCTCCCCGCGCGGCAGCCACGTGGGGGCGCGGCGGGACTTCCCCAGCACCCGCGCCAACTTTGCAACGCTCTGCAATGAGCCGGGCGGCGGAGCGAGAGGGAGGGTCGTGGTTCGGCGGTCGCGCGGGGCCAGCTCTCCTCAAGTTGAGCCTGGCATCGGCCGCGCACGCCGCCCGCGCGCCCCCCGCCTTCGCATGTCTTTGCTCCAGTCAGAGAGGAAAGTTTGAAGAACCGGACATCAGGCGCTGGCCACCTTCCCTCGGCTGCTGGGTACCCAGAGCCCATCCCTGAGGCCCAAAGCAGGACTGCAGGGAAGGTGCCCGCGTCCGGGCCCCGCCTGAGCAGTTAGGGCTCGCAGTGAGCACCCGGGCCCGCGGTGACTGACCGCTGGCCGCACTGGGGCGCGGGCTACACCCGGCACCTCCAAAGCGGCAGAACTGGCAGCATGTGCCCGCGCAGGGGATGGAGCCTGCAACTGCAAAACTTTATAATGGCAAAGCAAAGGTCCCAGAAGGCCACCTCCCCTTCCATCGCGGGCAGCTCAGCGTGGTCTCGAAATGACCTCGCTGAGCCAGATCCCTAGGCCTGGCCGCTTGATCCATGGAGCAAACCCCGTGTCTCGCAACCGGTCACCGACAGGGGCTGAGCCCCAGCAGCAACCCCTCCGTAGGTGCGTCCCCGCAAAGCCCGCCAGCCCGCCAGCGGCTGCTTCCCCGGCTAGGAGCCCGGGCGCCGGGGAGCTCTGGGGCGGCTCCCGGCCTCGCGGCTCTGCCCCGAACACACTCAACTCCAACTTGCCCCTTCAGCTCCAACTCACCTTTGCGAAGCATGTTGGCCGTGGGGCCGCCACTCCGAGGTCGGCCTAGGCGCGCTCCCTCCTGGAGTCCGGATTCAAATCCTTGGGCGCCGGCTGCAGCTAATCCGAGCGCGTCGAGGCGGGGGCAAACCGGGGATCCGCTTGTGCCCGGCAGCCAGGCCCCTCAGGGGCATGGTGAGCCCGAGCCCCGCGCCCAGGGCACCGGCGCCCACTAGCAACCGCGGCGCTCGCTGCCTGGCAGCCCGGCGCGCTCGTTCAGCTCCGGGACAAGCGGCTTGCTCCGCGGAGCCGGCGGCCTGCCTCTGCAGCCCCGAGCTCTTTGCAGGCGGTTTTGAGGGGGGACGACGCCCCCCGGCCGCCCGGCCGCCGGGCTGCGGCCCCCTCCTCTCCGCCCCCTCGGGCCGCCGCCGCCGCCGCGGCTGCTGCAAAAGGGCGCTCGCACGCACCGCCAAGCTCCGGGGAAAGCGCCCGGCGCGCGTTTGCAGGACCCGGTGATCGGCGGAGCGGGGCGCCTCCCTTCCTCCCCCCAACCCCCCGGCTTCCCCCACCTTTTCTCCTCCCTCTCTCCCTCCTTCCCTCCCTCGCTCGCTCGCTCGCTCGCTAGCTCCCTCCCTCTCGCTCCGCTCCCCGCCCCCGCTCACGGAGCGCCTCCCATACAAAATTTATGAAAGTGCTCTCAGCTCGCGGTGCCGAGCGCCGTCCTATTCCCAGGGCAGCGGCGCTCAGCCGCGCGGCGCCGCCTCCCAAGGTGTTTTCGCAGCGCCCGCCCCCGGGGACGATCCTTGGCCCGCGTCCATCCAAGTACCTGCCCCAGCCCCCGGGCCGGCCGTCGGGTCCCTCGAAAACCCCTCCCGAGCCCCGCGGGCTTCCCGGAGCGCGCACCCGCAGCCCAACCCCCGCCCGCTCGCCCTTCCCGGCTGGAGGTCACCGAGAGAGGCGGCTGGAACCGTGCGCTCTGCCCACCCGCTGGGACAGGAGGACAACCGCCCTGAGACCCCAATCACGAGTCTGCACCCCCGCCCATGTCCTCTCTAGCCGGCTCCGCTTGCTTCTCGCAGGCTCGACGGCTCCTCCTCGGCCAGGACAGCTCGGGCGGACCCAGCCGCCTCCCATCCCGCGTCCCAGGATACTATTCTTTTGGCGGCGGGAGGTGTGGCGAACCTCCGGGCTGGTCTAGTCCATGCAGCAAGCATTCAGGGAGGCCCAGCTGCAAATCCTAGAGAGAGGGAAGAACCAAAGTGGGGCTCAAGTGAGCTATCCCCGCCTAGGGGGTTCTCTGATCTCCTTCAGTCTGCACAGACCCCGCCCGGGGCTTCCTGAAAAATGGTAGAGGCACCGCCTAGAAAGCCGGCCCCGCAGGGGGCCAGTTGAGTTGAGCTGAGAAGGTTCAGGCCAGGAGAGATCCTGGGTGGAGGCGGCACCCCCTACTGGCCTGGGATAAGAGGGGTCCTGGAAAAGGAAAAAGAGTCACTCCTTCAATACACGTTTATTGAGGGTCTATCCTGTGGGACACTACTATTCCTAGGGATGCAGCCAATGGAAAAGACAAGGTCTCTGCCTTTGTGGAGTTTATAGTTAATAGGGAGCAAATGAAAAAACTCGAGATGAGACAGTGCTTGGAAGAAAAGCAGGGTATAGTACAGAACTGGTATGAGGGTGTCAGGGAACGCTCCTTTGAGCAGGTGATGTCTGAGAGAGTGAACTGAAGTGAGAATGAGTTATGATTCCATGCAGAAAAACTTGCTATGATAGGTTCAAAAGAAGGCCAGTATCATTCATTCACTCATATATGGATTCAATGGCACTGAGGCTCTGGATTTGAACTAACTACGTAGGTATGGACTTCCAGAGCTTATGGCATAGTTTAGGAAGAAAGACCCACAGGGGCACCTGGGTGGCTCAGTCAGTTAAGCGTCTGACTTCAGCTCCGTTCATGATCTCACGGTTCGTGGGTTTGAGCCCTGCATCAGGTACTGTGCTGACAGCTAGCTCAGAGCCTGGAGCCTGCTTCAGATTCTGTGTCTACCTCTCTCTCTGATCCTGCCCTGCTTACGCTGTCTCTCTCAGAAATAAATTTAAAAAAAAAAAAGGAAGAAAGACCCACAAGCCATCTTAGAATATGACGAGGAGACACCAAGTGTGGGAGGGGGCTCAGCTAGCTGTGTAAGGCAGTGGATCATCAAGGAAGTCTTCACTAAAGAGATGCCATTTAGGTTGGGTCTTGAGGGCTGAGAAGGAAAAGGGACATTCCAGGCAGAAAAGAATGTGCAAATGCATGGTAGTGAAAAAGTAACTTTGTTCTGAAGATTGAGAAGATTGGCCCATCTTGGGGGTCCCTTGGATGGCTCAGTCAGTTAAGCGTCTGACTCTTGGCTTCGGCTCAGGTCATAATCTCACAGTTTGTGAGTTCGAGCCCTGCGTTGGGCTCCACACTGATGGTGTGGAACCTGCTTGGGATTCTCTCTCTCTGTCCCTTCTCTGCTCACATGTGCGTGCGCACTCTCTCTCACTCACTCTCTCTCAAACTTAAAAAAAAAATAAGATTGGTCCATCTTGGGATGAATTGAAGGTGAGCTAGTTTCTTAGCTTTGACCAGCTGCAGAGCTGGGCTGACTCCACACCCTGCGTCAGCCCTGTGAGGCAGACATTAAAGCTGAACTTGATGGCACTGGGCACTGCAGAGGCTCTCCATGAGTTAACTGAAGCCCAGGAAATCTGAACAACTTGCTCAATGTCACAAAGCAGATCAGTGCCAAAGTGTAGGCCTGAATCAGGGTATGCTAATCCTCCTTCCAACTCCATGAGCTGCCTCCCCATAACCCCCTTGCCCCACAAACTCTAGCTTCTCAGGCAAAGTTGGCTGGGGCTGGGCGTGAGTGTGAGAAGCAGAGTTATTTCGGGCCTCAGGAGGGCTGGGTGCTGCTTTGGAGTCCAGCCAGGGGGTGGGGGTGACTGTAGGCGGGTGTTGTGGTGTAACGTGGGGGTGCACTGTGCCCGCCTTCTTGTCAGGCAGTAATTACTCAGACTGCTGAGTAACTCAGGCAGGGAGACCCCCCACAAACAGATGGAGGTGTTCTCAGCCCAAGCTGAGTGGCAGCCCTCAGTGTCCTTCCCTGCAGTATCTTGGGAGACATGTTAGTTCCCCTAGACATCACCTGGTTTCCTAATGGGCACCAGGGCAGCTCATTCAGCGCTGAGGCTTTGGGCAGTGTGGTAAGAGGATGGGGGCCTTCCATCAGCAGCAGGCCCCCACCTCTGCCTAGGGAAAGGCCCTAAGGGGTGGCATGCTAGGGAGAAGCCACTACTCTGCTGGAGTCCATCCCCACCTGCCTCCTCTCCCCCTCGCCAAACTCACAGCTGCAGCCAGAACTAAAGCTGTCCATAGGCTGGGGCTTCGTTCTGAAGGGAGAAGGGCTGGACTCAGGGGGTCCCTGGAATTGAGATCTTGCACCTTGGGGGTCCAAAGAACCAAGGAAAGTCTGGCCTGGACTCTTATCAAGGCAAGACGGGTGTTCCTGAGACCCGTGGTCCTGTCCAAAGCTATAACTGTCCTACGGGCATTGGTCAGTGGCCTGAGGGGCAGAGTATTGACCCCTTCTGGTCCTTCCCTTGGCTGCTCACTCTCAGCCAGCCCATATATCCCTTTTCTCTGGGCAGCCTCCCAGGCAGGGCCTGTCCCTGGCTGCTTGTTTTTCACTTCTCCATGCACCTTAATTAGGAGTTTCCAAGCAAGGAGGGCCTCCAGGGGAGCCCGAGGCCACAGAGCTACCTTAAAGGGCCAGCCGTGCTCATGTCACCACCACCAAGAGGGGAAGATGGTGCTAGAGGGCTGGATGGGCAAATAGCTCTGGGGGAACATTTGCTCTCCGGGGCAGACCTTGCTGAAGGCCAGTCCTGCAGGTACTCTGCTTCTTCCAAAGGTCAAGGCTGCCTCACTGGCTGCTCTGCCTTCTCTTTGGGATCAGAGGGGCCCAGACCCAATCCAGAGAAAGACTATCTAGGCCTGGGGGGGCAGCCTAGGCAGAGTAAATGTTGGCCAGAATCCAAACGGTATAGGCAGTTCGAATCCTTGGACATCTCCCTGCCCCAGGAAAGCACCCTGGTGTTTGGGGTCTTCCCTTGGTAGCAGTTTTGCATATGGGAAACTTCCACACTCCGTTCTAAAGGTAAGCACACGCTGGTGCTCCTGAAATCAGCATCAGGACTCAACTTAGAGCTGGGCTGAGTGGAGCTGAGTTCTGTATTGTTTGGGCAGTGGGTCCTTTGAGATAGAGAACGTGGCCTTTACCATGGCCTCCATTGCTTACCAGGAGAGGAGACTGGGAGAGGGGCAGAAGGGAGACTTGGGGCGCGGGGGGGGGGGGTGTTCCCATTCACAAGACTTGGCCTGTAGAATTCGGGCAAGGAGTCGGCAAATAGGGGAGCACTGGCCTGGGAGTGCTAGGTCGGGCGGGCCAGGAGCTGAGCGGAGAAGACTGAACAACCGGGAGAGCACAACCTCCGTGGTCCCGGACTGCTAGGGGTTCTGGAGTGGCCCCCTTCCCGGCAGAGACGGATTTGCGCTGGCCCCGCCCCCTGTCATCTCCTTCCTGGTCCCCGCCCAGCAAATTCCCGCCCCTCGCTAGCGATCGGCGGTCGATCGCAAGGTCTGAGCTCTCCGCGTTCCTCCAGCGCTGCCTTTTTGGTCTCCACGTGGGCAGGCCAGTGATGGCGGCGCTGGTGGAGTCGGTGGCGGCGGAGCCGGGCGGCCGAAGCGGCCCTGGCAGAGGTGGGTGCTGCGACTCTGCGGCCGCAAGACCTCTAACCTAACCCAGGTTAGGGCCCTCAAGTTAGAGACAGAACCAGCCCCCTCTAACAGCGGCGGCCTTTCTCCGCCAGACCCGGAAGGCCCCGCGGTCACTCGGTCCGGCGGATTTCGCTGGAGCCCAGAGAGACCGGTCTTTCTTTTTGCAGCCTTCGGGCTCGATCGGGAGCAGCCCTCCTTAGGAGCTGGTAGTCCTCAAGCTGGAAACGCGGCCCTCCTGCCCTGGTGGGCAGACAGGTTCTGGAGGACTCACGGATAAGGCGGACCCGTCAGGAAAAGAACCTGGCGCGTTGCAAGTGGGCCCTCAGGCAGTGCTTTCAGGAAAGAGGCTGGTTTCGTTCACCAGGCACTCACTGAGGGCCCATTGAATGCAGGGACTAGACGACAGCCCTGCCCTCAAGAATCTCTGTCTACCGGAGAATTCTGATGTAAACAAAAGATACAGACACGTGACAAAGGAGGAGGAGCCTACTAGTCCAGGGGACTAATTGAGCTACTAAGGCCAGCAGTTCCCACACCCCTAAGACCGCAAGGGACTTGGGCCTGTCAGAGGAGCTTTTGTGAGGGGCCCGGGGTTCTGGTATGGTTGTTCCAAGGCCTTTGAAACAACTGAGTAGAAATGATGGCAGTGGTAACATTCACATCTGGTCTCAGGATCCCAGCCTGCCATGCTAATTTTCCACGGCACCATCATCACTACCACTATCCATCCACAGGCAGAGGGTGAAGGGTCATGTCTAGGGGAAACCCTCCCACTGTAGTAAAGAGCCCTAGTAGAAGTTCTCACACAAAGTACAGGTTCAATAAATAGTCGTTCCATAAATTTCTTGCCTTCCTCGTCCCATTCCCAAACTATCTTGTTCCTAAAGATATAATAGGGGTTGAGCTATATTGAATTGTGGAGAGTAGGATGCACATTAAGGGAAATTTTGCTACGGGCTACAGTGTCTTCTTCTTTAATCAAAGGGTTGTAATTTGTACACCTGCATTTGCACCCACTGTACTACTGGCCCCTAAAGGGCGAAATCACTTCTCTGTCCTTAGCTGTTTGCCCCCAGTCCTAACTAAAGTATGTTCTTTCCATCTTTCCTGGAGTGGAACAGTGGGACTAAGGAACTTGTTAAGTCAGTTAAATGTTCAGTGTTTGTTTCCCTTTTTAAAAAAATCTAATCTGTTACTATTTTATTTATTTGTTTTTTTAAGAGAGAGCGCCCAAGAGGGGCAGAGGGAGAGAATCCTAAGCAGGCCCTATGCTCATCGCTGAACCAGATGTGGGGCTTGATTCCTGGGATCATGACCTGAACCAAAATCGAGAGTCGGATGCTCAACTGATTGAGACCCCCGGGCGCCCCGTTTATTTCTCTTTTAAATGAGGAGAGGGAAGAGTGTAGGAATTCATTAGTGTAGACCGAGTCGGTGCAACATGAGTAAAGAGGGCAGTCTTTTGGGACGTCTTGGGATTCTGCTGGCTTGTGAGCTCTCTCTCAAAATAAGTAAATAAACTTAAAAAAAAAGAGGGCAGTCTTTTAAAATAGTTCTTATAACAGTTTGCTTATACATCTCATATTTAGGACCTCAGAATTTCAAGGTGTTCTCAGGGACTGGGGGAAGAGAGACATTTTCCCAGGGTGGTGGGGCTGGCTAGGCTCTCCCTCAGAGGTGTTCTTTATCAAGGAGCAGTTGTGTGGACTTTTTTCTGTTTGTCCCTCAGTTCAGTCTCCTGGTATCACCTCTTCTCCAGAGGTAAGGCGTGACCCACGCCCCATTCATGGGCTTAAGTCGCTGATCCCCAGTAATCTCTCAACCTGGAAACTAATTATGCAGCTCTCCTCCTTGCTTAGTGGGTTGTCTTTCCAGCTTCAAAATGAATTCAGTGGGGAAGAAGGCCGGACCAGCCCCTCTTGGCCTCTGGGATCTGGGCCTGAAACTTGGTGGTGTTCACTTAGCTGGGTCTGGCTCTGTTTTAGGCCAGGGGCCAACTCAGGCCTTGCATCCTCCTAGGTCGAGCCCCTCGGGGCCGCTTGGCCAATCAGATCCCTCCTGAGATCCTGAACAACTCCCAGCTGCAGGCAGCCATTCAAGTCCTGCCTTCCAACTATAACTTTGAGATTCCCAAGACCATCTGGAGGATTCAACAGGCCGGGGCCAAGAAGGGTGAGCCCACAAGCTTTGAGTTGGGGTAGGGGTGTTAGGGTTGCCTGGCTCAGGCAGGGGCAGTAGCGCCATCCCACCGTTTTCCCAGCCCTCTGCTCTCATGTCTCTGCTCTTGTCTTTCAGTGGCCTTGCAAATGCCTGAAGGCCTTCTCCTCTTTGCCTGCACCATTGTGGATATCTTGGAAAGGTGAGGCCCTGGGCACTGGAGAAGAAGCTGACCCAAGATCTTCCCAGTGCCTGTTACAGCTCTGCCTGTTAACATTTTTCCCTTCTGGACCTCCACCTTATCCTGTCCTCTCCCATAACCACGTACACACAAAGGGAAAACCAAAACTTAACTTCCAGCCTGCTGAGATCCCAGCCTGTCCTGCCTGGTTCGTCCACATAACTCTCTTTGCCTAAAATATTTAGGGGGGAGGACAGAGTCGATTCCAGTATCTTCAAAGCTGAGCCCAGAGCAGGTGGCGGGGCCTGAAGAGGAACCTAAGAACCTCAGTGCCGACCCGGAATGAGCTCAGTTGTGTAGCCAGGGTGAACCTTTTTCTCTGGCACACTTGGGAGAGTAGGGCAAAGAGGGGCTTGGGGTGGGAGAAATGTCTAAGAGATGGTATTTAGTTCCTCTTCCCTCCATCTCAGTTTCTTCTTTACAATGAGACACCCTTGGGGGTGGGGGGTGGGGAGTGCTCAGCCATCTGGAACCGGCATTGGAACAGGGAGGGGGAATGGGGAAAGGGGAGGTCATCTCGTGATGGGAACCTCCCACTTCCCTGCTGCTGCCCTCCCCCACCCCGCTTCTCATCCTGCTGCCACAGACTCACTTCCCAGCTCCCACCCTCTTGCCCCTTGGGGATGCTCTCTGGGGCTCAGGCCAATTTGCATACATTTTAATCTATAAAAAATTAAGTGCTCTGGCTGACTCAGAAGCCTGGGCTGCATTTTAAGGAGTTGAATAATCTTCTGTGCACAGACTGATTTGGGGAAGGGGGAGGAGGGACGGATGCTGACTGACAGCAGCTCAGCTTTCCCCACCACACCTCCAGGAGGGAAAAGGGAGACTGTGGTCACCAACCACCCCCCCCAGGCCCCAGGCCCCCCGGGGTGGGTCTGTCAGGGAAGAACTGGTCCTCCGTTTCCATCCGCTTGGAGGATTTGGGGAGTACAGGGTCTTCCCCCCCCACCCCTGTCCCCCGTGATTCAGGCCTGGCAGCAGATCTTATGGCAATGTGCTGGCCAGAGCCCACTCTTTCTGACGCATGAGGTGTGTGGGTGGTGCCATGTGCTGTGGGGGGGCTGTTCATGGGCCCCCACCCTGGGCACAGAGGGCCCTAACTAAGGGTGGGGGGGTAGTAGGGGCTCTGGGTGACAGGGAGGCTGTGTGTCCCCATGCATGCGTGCCCACGCGCACCAGTGTCAGGGCTTGGGAGTGGGCGCCTGTGCACGTGTGTACACACTCACTGCTCGGGTGGGATGAGTCAGGGCAGCAGAGGTCTGTGTTTGACCCCGTGCATGCCCACCGCAGGGGTGGGGGTCCTCGTTGCAGCCTGAGCTGGGACTGAGGAAGCGGGTGCCGCAGAGACCATCCTCGTACGGTCCCGGTTCCAGGAGCTGCTGCCAGGACTGGGGGATGTGGCAGCTGGGCCCCTCCTACTCTCTGTTGGCAGAAGTGGCAGCTGCCAGCCCAAGTGATTATGGGGGGTAGGGAGAGAAGAGCTGGGCCTTGAGGTAGCCCCACAGGGGGAGGTCTCTGTCCCACCCCACCCTTGTGTCACCGGCTCATTGGGCTCATTGTTCCCCCTGGCACCCCACCCCACCCCCCAGGTTCACAGAGGCCGAAGCGATGGTGATGGGTGATGTGACGTATGGGGCCTGCTGTGTGGATGACTTTACTGCGAGGGCCCTGGGAGCGGACTTCCTGGTGCACTATGGTCACAGCTGCCTGGGTACGGTGGGCCAGGGTTCTGGCAGGGAGGCAGAGGGGCAGGACTGCATGCTAATCCCCCGTCACCGGGCCTTCTTGTCTTGCTTGCAGGCAGGAGGTCCCTCCCGGTTTCTGGGATGGCCTTGGCCTTCCTGCACTGCAGGTGGATATTTCCTTTGGATTTGGTTGCCTTGGAAACAATGTTGCTGTCCCAGATGTGGGTGTTTGAAAGGGTGTTGGTGGCAGAGCAGGCTGGGCCCCTGGCCGAGTGACAGAGAAGGAGCTTCTGAGGGACCTGTGACTGCCACACACCCCTCTCCACCCCTCTCCCCCCAATCCCCTCCTTGTATCCCTAGGCTGAAGTCCCTGGACCTGGCTGGCCGCTCAGAGGCTTTGGCCCTAGCAGGCCCTCTGCCCCAAAATAGCCTCCTGATCTCTACCCTCCTCCCAGTTCCCATGGACACCTCGGTCCAAGACTTCCGGGTGCTGTACGTCTTTGTGGACATCCGGATAGATACTACCCACTTCCTGGAGTCTATCCGCCTCACCTTCCCCCCAGCCAGCTCCCTTGCCTTGGTCAGCACCATTCAGTTTGTGTCCACCTTGCAGGTAAGTGGACAGAGAGCAGCCAGCCTCCAGACTCTTCCTGGGGTTCCCTGTGAGGTGCTCCAGGCTGGTCACCTGGCCCTGGCTCTTCCCCCATCACCCACTTGCTTCCCTTCCGTCATTATCCCTACAGGCAGCTGCCCAGGAGCTGAAAGCGGAGTATCGTGTGAGTGTCCCACAGTGCAAGCCCCTGTCCCCCGGGGAGATTCTGGGCTGCACGTCCCCCCACCTGCCCAAAGAGGTGCAGGCTGTTGTGTAAGTGAAAACTGGGGGGCCAGTTGTAGAGACATGAGAAGTGTACCCTAGAAGGGTGCTTGAGGTTCATCATATAGGAAAGGAAACTGAGTCTAAAGCTCCTTAACTGTTTGCTCAAGGTCATCCTGCAAAATGGGGACTAAATAGGGTTTCACATCTCCTATCTACCTCTCAGGCACTCTGTCCACCAACTAGGAGGCTAGGCCCAGAGTGGGGCAGGAATCCGGGGACCTTATGGGGGGAGGGGGTGAAGGGGGGCTACAAATGTTGGGAATATAATTGGAGAAGATGGATGGGCACGCCCAGGCTGCAGCCCCATTAATTTAGCATCCGGACAGCTAACAAGCAGGAGCAGCATGTCTCCTGCCGCCTAATTATTTTAGGTAATGGAAATGCTTAATGTTGTGTGAATGCAGCCAGCCTCAGAGCCGACAGCTCCCCCGGCTGGGGCTGGGGAGGGGAGCCCCGTTCCTAGCTAATGGCAGGAAAAGAGGGAGGGGCACTCCCGTGACTCGGCCCCACCTCTGGGGCTGCAGATGCTGGTCCCACAGGCCTTGCCGCTCCCTCACAGGACACCCCTGCCCCTAGACAGGCCCACATCAGGGCCTTCCCCAGCCCAGACCCAGTAGCCCTGCTCTCCAAGGGGCATTCCCCCTGTGCCAGCATATTTCTGAGCTCATAGACTCCTACCCTGGGAGCTTGTTCAAGGTGTGTTTTGGAGGGAGGGACACTCTATGTGTGCTGGCCATTCATCACAATTCAGTGTGGTCTCCAAGAAGGAAGGAGCTGCCATAGCCGATTGTCCTATGTCTCTGGTTTCTCTGTGGCCTGGGAAGCTACTTTTAAGGACAGTGTCTCCCCGGGGCACGCTTGAATACGTCCTGGTGGTTAAGCCTAGAGTCAAATCCCAGATAGATTGCTTTTTTTTTTTTTTTTAATGTTTTTTTATTTCTAGGAGAGAGAGAGAGAGAGAGAAAGCGTGAGCAGGGGAGGGCCAGAGAGAGAGGGGTCACAGACTGAAACAGGCTCCAGGCTCCGAGCTGGCAGTCAGCACAGAGCCCGACGCGGGGCTCAAACCCATGAACCGCGAGATCATGACCCAAGTGAAAGTCGGACGCTTAACCGACTAAGCCACCCAGGCGCCCCATCCAGATAGATTGCTTAATAGCTGTGTGACTTTGGGCAAGGTTCCTAACGTCTCTGAACATCGGTTAGATCGCTTATAAAATGGACAGAGACACTCTAGGTAGCTTGGAGGATTATTTGATAGGACTGAGTGAAGTCCTACATGTCACATGCTTAGCCCAGGCCTGGTACATGGAAGGCACAAAGGCATCACGGTGGTTGGTACAACTCAGTAACAGGACCTGAGTGCCAGTTTGGGCAGAGAGAGCCAGTGTCTACCCTGAAACCTCATTTACAGCATAGATGATACCCTGAGTACTGCTTGCCAGGTCTGTGTTGAGCTGGGTGAGAGAGAATCTGTCCTGCCCCCTCCAGGTTAGGGTCTCTGGACACCTGAGTGGCCTTTCCATGGTCTTGGCTGCCTGTCTACTCTTCCCCCAGAAGGGGGGCATTTCTCAGATTCTGCATGACACAAAGTAGAGGGGCTTTATGCTCCTCCGATTCGAACTCCTTGTTTGGCATGTGAGGAAATCAAGGCCTCAGGAGGTGAAATGATGGCTTATGCCAGTACGTGTACACACACACACACACACACACACACACACACACACACACACACACACACACCAAGGCCTCAGGAGGTGAAATGATGGCTTATGCCAGTATGTACACATACACACAAACACACAGAGCACAGTCTGGACCTCCAAGTCAGTGCCTGCCTTTTCTGCCGCCCCGTCCCACCCCCTACTTACCGTCCCCTTTCTACCGGTTGCAGGTATCTTGGAGACGGCCGCTTCCATCTTGAGTCTGTCATGATTGCTAACCCCGATGTCCCCACTTACCGGTATGGGCTGAGCTAGGCTGACCGGCTAGAGAGGGGGTGAGACTGCCTGCCACTGAGGTCCTCAATGGACCCAAACTTCCCCATTTCCTGGCACTTCACAGCCAGCAGCCCTGAGGAGCTAAGTACTTGGGTCCTGAATCCGGGCTGCTGCTGTGCAGTACCCACCCGTCCCCTGGCATTTACATTGAGATCGCAAACCCCTCTTCCACTTTTGCCCACTCCAGCTGTGGGGCTGATCTTTCCAATGACCACCTCTGCTCTCCCCTCTGTTCCTCATGGAGCCTGAAGGCTCAGCAGACCAAGGGGCTGGGTCGGGGAGTTGTGTGTACAACATGTACTGTGAATGGCTGTCACCGTGATCCTGATTGCTTCTTTTCCAGATATGACCCATACAGCAAAGTCCTATCCAGAGAGCACTATGACCACCAGCGCATGCAGGCCAACCGCCAAGAAGCCATAGCCACAGCCCGTTCAGCTAAATCCTGGGGCCTTATCCTGGGTACTCTGGGCCGCCAGGGCAGCCCCAAGATTTTGGAGGTCAGAGGGCTTGGGATGGCCTCTGGAGGAGGGGACTGACTAGACACCCAGCTGGGAAAATTAGTAGGCTAAGAAATTTAGACTTGGCTGCTTGATTATGGTGATCTGAGCTTGGCCTCCCTCTTCCAACAGCATCTGGAATCTCGGCTCCAAGCCTTAGGACTTCCGTTCATGAGACTGCTGCTCTCTGAGATCTTCCCCAGCAAGCTTAGCCTGTTTCCTGAGGTGGATGTGTAAGTCTCCTCCCCTTACCTCCCTAGCTATGACTCTGGCTAAGAAAGCTTAGATCTGAGTCCTGCCCAGCACACCTTGAAGGCTGGAGTCAGTGGGGATTGCTTCCGTGACATTTTACTGTTTACAGAGCACTCATTCAGCAGGGGCTACCCTTGGCTATGGGTCACCCCACTCTGGCTTGGGGGCTCACAGGTAACTGCAGCATCCTAATGTGTGAGATGTGTTTGAGGGGTGGTTGGCACCTGCAGTATACCGGAACTAAATTTGGTTCTGGGGATATGATCATAGAGGAGCTGCCCAGGTCCTGCCCTCAGAAAGCTCACAGCCACTGGAGGAAACAGGAGAAAACAAGCAAAGCTCTAGTGTTATTCTAAACGGCATCAGGTGACAGTCTTTACTTTAGAATTAACAGTAAACATTCATTGGGTGTGTTGGGGACACAGTCATGGTTTTCATCATGTTACCCAGGAGAAGGGAAGCACCCGCCTCCTTGGGTCTGACCTGACTCCCCTTTCCAGGTGGGTGCAGGTGGCATGTCCACGCCTTTCCATTGACTGGGGCACAGCATTCCCCAAGCCGCTGCTTACACCCTATGAGGTAACACCAAGTTGTGAAAATCCCCGAGATAGAGTGGGCTTTGCACCTGGTTCCGTCAAGGGAGGGATCTGGAGTGGGGTGGGTGGGCAGCACTTAGTTTCAGCTGAGTCACTTTCTAGTTGTGTGGCCTTGGGCAAGTCCCTTAACCCCTCTGAGCCTCACATTTCTTTTCTGTGGCATGGGGATAATAGGACGTTCATAGGCCCTCGAAGACCGAATTAAGAAATCCTGCCCAGAAAAAGTTGGCAAATATTACTGTCCTGTTGTCCTCTCCTAGGCAGTGGTGGCCCTGAGGGACATTTCTTGGCAGCAGCCGTACCCCATGGACTTCTATGCTGGCAGCTCCTTGGGGCCCTGGACAGTGAACCACGGACGGAACCGGCCCCCCCATGCCCTGGGCGGGCCAGCGCAGGAGAAGGTAGGCAGGGACTCCCAGCAGGGAGGAGACCAAAGGCGCGGCCTTGGCACTGGCCGCCTCCCTAGCGACGCGAGCCGAGGCCGCCGCCGTGCGGCCACCACGGGAAATGCACGGGAGCAGGGTGGAGGTCGTCGCAGAACTGAGATCCTGACCAAAGTCTGGGACCTCAGGTGCGAATGCAGGAGGAGCCCACGCGCCCCACTCCAGCCGCGGCTTGCGACGATTGCAGCTGCAGAGAAGAAAAGAGAGCGCCGCTCGTCCTGTGAGACCCTGCTAGGTCTCAGGTCTCCACCCCTCCTCCGGCCGCGCCTTACCCCTCCTCTTACCCCTCCCGCTTGTTCTGAGAACGCCCGCTGGCTCGATGGCCCGCCCTCGGGGTGGTGCTGGCATTTGGTCCCGCCTCTTGTACACTTGACTTCCGCTCGGGGAAAGTCAGCTTCCGGGCCCTGGCGCGTTGCCCGGCAAGATGGCGGCGCGGCGGCCTCTGCGGGTGTTGGGACTGGCGGGCTTCCGGCAGAGCGAGCGGGGCTTCCGCGAGAAGACGGGAGCCCTGAGGAAGGCGCTGCGGGGCCGCGCCGAGCTCGTGTGTCTCAGCGGCCCGCACCTGGTCGCGGGGGCCGCGGGCCCCGAGGGTGCCGGGCCAGACTCCGGTGAGACGGCCCTGCCCGGGGAAATGCACGGAGTCTTCCCTCTGGCCTCGTCTCCGCGACAGCCGTCGGCATACCCCACGCTGTATCCTCGCCTCGCTCCTTCCCTCTGCGCATACCCTTCATTTCTTCCTTCCCGGCCTCTCGGGCTTCCCCTTGATGTGCCTTCCCCCTCTTTCCGTGCCACCCCGTTCTCCTCCTCCCTCCCCTCGGCCGCCCCTCTTTCCTTACTGCCGCTCCCAAATCCTCCGTGCCTCCATTTTTCATTTCTTCTCCCCGAGATGCCCGCTTGCCCTAACCCCATCCTTTCCCCTGTATCGCTGTAGAGCCCTGCCTTCCGGAGGAGCAGCCTCGAGGCTGGTGGTTTTCAGAACAGGACGCAGACGTTTTCAACGCCCTGAGCCACCCCACAGTGTGCAGAGGTCTGGAGGAAGCCCTGGGAACCGTGGCACAGGCACTGAAGAAACTGGGGCCTTTTGATGGGCTCCTTGGTTTCAGCCAGGGGGCCGCGCTAGCAGCCCTTGTGTGTGCCCTCGGCCAAGCGGGGGATCCCCGCTTTCCCTTGCCAAGATTTATCATCCTGGTGTCTGGTTTCTGTCCCCAGGGCCTTGGACTCAAAGAACCCATCCTCCAGGGCCCCCTGTCGCTGCCTTCCCTCCATGTTTTCGGGGACACTGACTGTGTCATCCCCTCTCAGGAAAGTTTGCAGCTGGCTAGCCGATTCTCTGGAGCCGTCACCCTCACCCACTCTGGTGGCCACTTCATTCCAGCAGCTGCAGCCCAGCGCCAGGTCTACCTCAAGTTCTTGGACCAGTTTGCGGAGTGAAAGATCAACAGGGGCTCTGCCCCTCTGCCCCCTACCCCCACATGACCTTGGCGCAGCCTTTGTACTCCAGCCTCTCTGCCTTTCTCCTGTCCTCGGAGCTCAGCTGCTGTAGCCTTCCTCACTGTCGCCAGTTAAGAGACATATCAGTTCTTCAGGCTCAAGTTATTGTAAGCCCAGCTCTACACTCAAGACAAAAGGGGGCAGGATACTGAAACATGGCGTCTGATGCTCAAACAGGAAAAAAGCCAGTGGAGCCCTGGATGAGTGGAGGGTGGCATGGGAAAAGCAGGGGCTGGCACTGTGACTGCCACGTAATAAAGTGGTGATTTGGATTTTGAGCATCTTTTTCCTCGTACAGAAAAACCCGTCTTGTAACCGAAGTCTGGATTTCTGTCCTTCCAAAAACCTCCAGGGCAGCACCAAACAGGGAAGTGTTTCCAGTTGTGAGTCTTCAGGACCAGCTCGTGGTAGAAGTCTTAAGTGCCAAGCTGAAGGAAAGGAGGCCTTGGTGGCTGAGGTGGGAGAGTTTACGTCTGAGATGTTTGGGAAGAGATTCCCTGGCCTGGTCCTACCTGGGCTACACTGAGTTAGGGTCCTCTGCCCTGACTGCTGAGGGCTGTGTGCTAGTGCTGTCAGATTCGGGCATATTGGGTTCTCTGCTTTCTCCTCCAAAACTGCCATAGACCCTCTGAACTACCAGCTTGAAGGGTGGGATGGTGCTCGACCTTGGGTAGAGGCCCAAGACTGCACAGAAGAAACCCTTTTACAGACCTGACCTCATCTGCAGAGTTTCTGGGGCTGATACTACCTCTCAAGGATCCAGCTAAGGCCTGAGGAGCCCCACCAGTTCTAGGGTACAGTTAGTTGTTCCTGGGTCACTGCCAGGGCCACTTCGTTATTTGCCCTATGACCAGTGCAGCCACCTGTGGTCCATGCTACACTCTTGATTTCAGCCCTGTGCCTGCAGATTCACCAGCCCGTTCCTTTTCTGGAAGATCACAGGAGGCCGTGATCTAACTCTCATGGTTGGTTGTTGCCAGGGAGTTTAGTAATTGAGTAGGAATTAGGATTAGGGGATACAGCACATCTGAGATGAAAAAACTGGAGTTTTTCTGGATTTAGGACCTTTACAGCAGAAAGTGGGGATAGGAGGATGGCTCTCCCTTGCCACAGTCTGCCTTTGCCTTGCTCTTGGTGTTTAAAGGGATCCCTTCGTTGGGAAAAGGAGGAGACTCAGAAATGGACTGAATTACTCCTACCTGTTGGATTTGGCCCATAGGATTTTAGAAAATACTCAATTTTTGATATTTAAGGTTTTTGGAACTTCACACAGGCAAATCAGATTCCTGGCTTCTCTGGAAATAAGCGGTTCAGTGGATCTGCAGTTCAGAGCTCACATACCCCTTGGCAGTTGTAGGCTGCCCCCTTTAGGAACATCCCAAGCTGTGAAAATGATGACAATCGCTACACAGTGGTTGCTACTTTGAATTATTTTGAGGACTAGAGGAGAGAGGGCAAGATAATAGTGGGGAATGAATTTTTAGCCAGGGCTTAAAATTAGAAGGGTGACGGTAGAGGAGGACAGTATGAGGTAGAGCAGAAGTCCTCACGTTCTGTGTGAGAATTCTGCCTCCCGCACCTCCTGCTTCAAGAACAGAAAATGTCCAAGGTAGAGGGAGAACACGTGGTCCCCGGGTTCGAAACAAGTGAGAATATGACCGTCATGTCCTCCAGCAACAACAGAGTCTGTTAGGGGTCATCGCCCCCCCCCCCCCACACACACATACACTCTGTGGACCACTTGCATCAGAATCATGTCAAAACCTAGATTCCTGGGGCCAACTTCTGACCTACGGAGTCAATCACGGAGACCCAGGAATTTGCATTTTGGCAAACTGTCCCTGGACATTCCCATGCTACACAACTTTCGAAAACCACTGCCTTAGAATAAAAGTCTGGTAGATATGTGCTCAATAACTTACCCAAACTTGGATTCAGATCCAGAGCTCACATTCTTGACCTTTACTAGTCATTGTTTTCTCTCTAGCACCACAGAATATGAGCAGAGGCCACCCACCACTCACTACTGTTGGGCTCTATGTGGTCTGGGTCTTACCTTCCTAATCCGTAAGATAGGTTGGGGGTGGGGTGAACTTAACTGAGTTCTAAGATACCAGAAACTAGACAGTCAGTTCTCTGGTTTCTCCTCCCCTGACCGTCTTCTCCTGATAGGTTCAAATTGCAAACAATTGGTCTTTCCAGAATATCCCTACAATTTCTCTTTTCAACATCTCACTCCACGTTCATTACCTAAAGCTCTTGAAAGAGTCCCTGAGCAAAGAAACCCTCGACAGCCCCAGTTCCAGATCTGCTCAGAAAGGTGTGCTCCCCTCCCCTGTTCATTCTGCCTAAGTGGCCAGAGTTGGGGTCTCCCAAATGCCACCACACTCTCACAAAGACCTGGCAACCTAATAGAATACTTAAGGTTGAAATTGCATTCTGCAGTTTCCAAAAGTTTTTACCTCACGTGATCCTATTTGATCCTCACAAGTCTGCCAAGAAGGAAGGATCATTATCCCATTTTACACAAGGCTCAGAAACAACATGGCCCCTTAAATAATAACCAGTTGGTGATGAAGCCAGGTTGGACCTCCTATTTCCCAGTGCACTACTCATATCTGCATACACTACAGTCTGCCCACGGATGTCCACTGGATTCCAGAATCAAGTACATTTAATCTAATACCTCCAGGTCCTTGAGTGGGAGGAATAATGTGGGCATTGATTAGCTATGAAACCAGCACCAATTGTCTTAAAAGCAGTTTAGCGAAGAGGTGGGCATAAGGAAGTAACAAAAAATTGGATTAATGAACGTCAGAACTGGCTTGCATTGACCAGTTCCAGCACTCTCCCTAGGGAAGTCCGGCACCCAATATCCATCAGTCAGCCCCTGCAGTGGGTGATGTAGGTGGTGGCAGGTGACATCAGCATGTTTTTGAAGAGGTCCTTCCTCACACTTCACTGGACCAATAGGACTTCAGCCCGTCTGATACTCACTCCTCCATTTTAGGGCTGATTTGAGTCACTCTCTCAGATTGGAATCCAGCACAGATTGAGGTGAGGCTGCTGATACATTCAGACAATGCTTTACTGTTCGGGCTACCTTTACTAGCACACTGGCTTCTTGAGGCTTGAGAATCCTTCTCATGGTCTTAAATGAAATAGAGGAAGAGCGAGTGAGGAGAAGAATGAGGGAAGGCTGTGACTCCATCAGGAAATGGGTTCAAGGATTAGTCATGCTTTCTGCCTACCCAGTGAGGGGTTCCTGGAAGAATGAGGTTGTGGCATATTTAGAAAAACTTTCCTCCTTTTACTGCGTTCAGTCCCCGGGAGGCCTTCAGGTCCCGGTAGCCTCCCTCCTACCGAAGAGGTAAAAAGAACACAAATCCCAGAGCTACCCCTTCTCTCACCATCCCCCTGGCTGTAACCTCCTCGGCTAAGAGAACAGGATGGTTACTGAGCCGGACGGTCAGACATACTCCCCAGACCGTGCCTTCTGTCTTGGTAGATGCGCAGCAGTCAGACCCTAGGGTAGCATGTGCCGCAGCACCGCACCTCCCTCCGCCCAGGCAGATACATCCGATCTTGACTTGCCGCCCCCGCTTCCTCCGGCTCCTCCTTGTCTCCCCCCTCCGCGGCTGGCAGAGCGCTGCGCGGTGCGGCGCGTGGGCGTGCTGCGGGGCGACCATGGCTGTAGACTGTTACCTCCGGTTCCCACAGTAACAATCGAAAGCCACGGTTGCCCTGGAGACGCGGGGGCGGGGCGCGCGCTGCTGACGGCACCGCGGCAGCTCCAGTCAAGCAGTCGTCAGGACAGAGAGTTTGGGGGAGGGGGAGGCGATAGCGGGGGTAGCACGCGCGACGGGGACCGGGCTCGGGGGCTGTGCGATGTGCGTGTAAGCCGGCCGCCCCTCGCAGCTTCTGGTGACCAAGGACCTGACTGCCGGATGGTAGAGCCTGAGCTCGATCAGCACCGCGGACAGCGGCGGCGCGCGCAGCGCGCTCGGGGCTGAGGGGCCCTGAGAGGCAGAGGGGCCGGGGGCGCGGCAGGTGGCCGGGTCCGCGGTCCTGGGGCGGGGCCAGGCGTCGGTGGCCGTGACTGGAGACTGTTACTGAGGGCGGCCCGGGCAGTAAGCAGTCTAGAGCCAAGGTGCCGGCGCGCTGCCCGGGCGGGGGTGCCTCCGTCGCCCGCAGCTGGGGGCGCTGCTGCTCTTCCTCCCCCGCGTCTCCCGCCTTTCTCGGCCCCAGCGCTCGCCGACAGGCACGCGGCCCTTGACGTCAAAGCCCTGTGACGTCAAATATGTCCCTGCGGAGAGGCACTTCCGGCGGGGAGGGGGGGTCAGTGGGGGTGGGGCGGGGCAGTCCGGCTGAGGCCCCGCCCCCGCCTGGTCCTGAGAGGACAGCTCCTCGCGCAGAGGCGGGAAGTCGGGGGCGCTAAGGGACTAGCCCGACGGGATGGGACTGGGAGGGGGCGCCTGTCTGGATGCGGGGTAGGGGTCCCGAGAGAGTCGCGGCTGGGTCGGCAGGCAGGTGGGCGTCTGTCTTTCGCTGGCGGCCCAGCTCAGCCGGCCGGGGGCAGCGAGGCTGAGTCACCGCGCTGCGGGCAGGGGGAGGAGGGGGCGCCTCTCCTGGGGCGTCAGCACCTTCGCCCCACTTTCTTGGGAGGATGGCGCAGGAGCCCCAGGACATGTCGCGGGGACTCTGGGGTCCGTCCTCTGTTCGATGCTCCTCCAAAGTGGCTGCGTCTTCATCCGGGCGCGGGCAGGTTGCTGCACGGGGTTCTGGGTACGCCTCCGGCCGGCTCCACCAGCTGCGAGGGGATCCTCGTCCCCCACCCTGTTCCCAACCCCACCCCGTAGGGGCCCTCCAACCTGCCGCCTGCCGGTCTCCTCATTGCTCTCCCTTCCGTGTCCGTGCATCGGTCCATCGGTAGCCCGTCGGTCGGTCAGTCCCGCTTACCTGTCGGGCCGCGTCGCGCCCGCTCCCGCTCGCCTCCCGCAGCCCGGCTGGCGCCGCTGCTTTTATAGGCGCGCGTAGTACTCGTGCGGCGGCTCATTCATGCGGCCGCGGCTCCTACACACTGACGCGCTGCCGACGTCAGCAGGGAATTTAGGAAACGGGAAGAGGGGCTATTTATAGTGGCGAGGCGGGGGGGTTGGGGGGGCAAGGCGACAGGGAGCTGGGAGGGGGAGGAGGGCGCACGGAAGTAGGAACAAGGAGGGGGCGCCCGGGCCCCTGTGCCGGCCAACAAAGGGTTAACTTTCCGGAACTGCGGGCTGGGGGCCGGCTGGAGGATAGTGCCGGGGGGGGGGGGGCGCACGGTCCGTTACTCCTTTATTCATTCGGGAACACCTGGAGGTGAATCCCACCTCCCGTCTGGCCTTCGGAGGTGCTCGCCCGGTAGCCCCCCACTCCCACTCCTCGGTTCCTGAGCCCGATGGCTCGGTGGCTTCACAAGATGACCCTCGGCGGCGTTATACCCCGTAGCAGTGCAGTGTCGTCACCTTGAGGCAGGAGGTACAGGAGAAGAAGCTGCACCCCAGGAGGGGCTAAGGCAGCATCTAGAACTGTGGCGTCGGTGGGATGAGGGAAGAAGAGTGGAGGCTCCCAGGACTCTCAGAAGCTTTGTAGAAGGAGTCTGGGCCTAGAAGAGAGGCCCAATGGGGAAGGGGGGGTGTTTCGGTACCAGTCGTAGCTGGAGACCCCAGAAAAGTTGAGGAAGGTGGCTTGGACCCTCCAGAAATGAGCAAGGGGTTCCTCCATGGGGGATCTGTGGGAAAGGTGGCAGAAGCGGGTGAGTGGAAGGGGAAGCCTCAGCAAATGGAGGGGAGGAGGGCAGGTTGGAGGTGCCAGTTTCAGAGCCTGGCACCAAGCAGACCCCATTTAGGACCCATTTGTGGGCATTGGTGGAGCTCATATGAGCGTTGTAATGAGTGAGGGAGACCAAGGGCTCAGCAGCTTGAAGGGCAGAGAGGGGTCTCCAGAGGGTGGAGGGGCAAGAGCACTTTCTGAAGGAGTTACAGTTCTGGAGGTATGAGTTGATAGGAAGGGTCTATGCCATGTGGGGCAGAAGTCCCCTGAACAAGAGCAGGGAAATGAATGATCCTGGCTCCATCAATTGAGGAAAGTTCTAAATGGAGGAGGGTGACTGTGTTCAGAGAGAGGAGATGGGTTGGGGCCGAGGGAGCAGTGCCAGGCTCATAGGGTAGGTAAAAACGAGGGAGGAGGAGAGGACCGAAGACTGAAGAAGAGTGAAGGCCGCGGGAAGACAGCAAGGCTAGTGACAGGTCTGTGAGACCTTCCCATACAGATGTAAGAACAGCTTGAGGGTAGGGACAGAGTCAGTGAGCGAGTTAACTCAGGGAGTGGGGATCCTGGGAGAGTGTGGAAGAAAATCAAAGCCAGTGGGCACAATGGACACTGCACGAATGAGACACTGGGCTGAGGGGCTCCTTTTGGGGCTAGGATCTGGTCCCATCAAGATTACAGGAGAGTCCCGCGCAACCTTTGGAATCTAGCCTCTTGGAGTCCCCGCCTACCCCGCCCCCTGCCTTTTAATTAATTAATTAATTAATTTTTTTTGCCTCCAGCCTTCGTCCCTGTGGTTCTCTTCTCCAGGACTGCCTTTCTACGGGAATGGGGGGTGGGGTCGGGGAGTGGGAGAACTCCTATTCATCCATCAAAGCCCAGCTCTAAAGAGTACTTCTCTGAGGAGCCTGCCTGCCTTTCTCCAGCACTCCATACACACACCCCCCCCGCACCTCAGTGCAGAACGTATCCATCCCTCGGCCAATATGTCGGGGTCCCTCTCCTTGAGCCGCGGCAGCTCCGAAACCTACCGTTATCATTCTCGGAAGCTCACTGCAAGCCTAGCGAGGAGACCGTGGGGAGACGGAGGAGAGGACTGGAATAAAATGGATCCAAAAGACAGAGTAGAAGCAGGGTGAGGGCAGAGTCAGGGCGCAGTGGGAGTCTTTAGGACCCGCGGGGACCATGGCCCCGAGGCCATGAAGATGTCCGTGGAGGAAAGAGAGCCTCTGGGGGGCGCCCGAGACTTTACTGTCAGGGACCGCGAGTGGCCGCGCCGGCGGCCCCTCAGTGAGTGACTCAGCTACTACCTCTGGCGGGGGCGTGGTGGTGGAGGACGGCGCGAGGGGCGGCGAGCGCGGCACCCACCCGCCCAGCGGCCCTAGGCGGTTGCTAAGCTCTCCAAGGCCTTAGAGAGACGCGATCTGGGCGAACCTCATCGGTTACTATAGTAACTCTGCGCCCCAGCCTCTCGCGCGCGACGGCTGAGGGAGGCGCAGCCAATCAGAAGCTGCAGGCGTTCTCCGGGACCCACTACCTCCCCCTACGTGTGGGCAGGGGTCAGAAGGCGCCGGGAGGAGGCGTAGCGGGGGCCATGGAGACCCGGCGCTCACTAAAGGCCCAGTGCGGCGGCGGGGCCACGCGGGGTCACTTCCGGAGTAGCCGTGCGAGTGCCCACGCGCCAGTGCGGGGTCTCCTCCCCCCAGAAGGGGCATCACCTCAAGGACCGTCACGGGGGAGTGCAGAACCTTGCCGGGGGATCCCCGGCTGCAGGCCCTGCTGTCACGTTTGGGGGTTAGTGTGTTGGAGACGAGTCGTGCAAGCAGGTCCCTCAAAATGGCTCACAGCGGGAATCTGCGATCTGGGGTCGATTCTGCGGGACCACCAAGAGGCGCTGTCCAGCCATTCCCCGTCGGATACCCTGGTGTCACCAGAAACCTACAAGTTCAGGGTGGGCTGACTGGCTCTGCCCAGGCTCGTGGAGGGCCCCTATGTGACAGTCTTCCGAGTATCACAGAGAGCCAGGACTTGAACTTTAGAAAGGGGCAGATGTGTGTTTGCGCCAACATGGGTGTCCGCAGGTGTCAGTGCCTGGAGAGGGTCTGGGTGCAAATGGGTTTATTCTGTGCGTACCTAATTCAGGTGGCTGAGTGAAGGTGGGTGCGTTGGGGGTGGGGTGGGTATAAATGGACAGTCCCATCCAGGAATGTGTCCGGAAAATCTCCGAAGATCTTGTCTACCTTCTTCTCTCTTAGGACTTCTATAACCTCCCTCCCCCTATCTACTGTCACCAGAGCCCCCTCCTTGTGGGCAGGACTTCTCCAAGCTGAGGCAATGTGAGAATCTAGAAACACGTACACGGGAGCGTTCAGCTCAACGCCCCGGAGCCTGTAGGGCTCGAAGTTCTGGAACCTGGGTCCTCACGAGGGCACATCTGGAAGGGTGAAGCTGCGGATAGACCCCACTCCCCGGTACAGCTCCGCATCTGTGAGCCTCCAAACCCAGGTGCGCGGAAGGGAGGCGGCGGCTGTGTCGCGCAGAGCCCCACACGGCCGCGAGGTGGCGCCATAGCTGCAGCAGCGCGGGCTGGCCCGGGCCGCTCCAGATAAGAGTGTGCGGAAAGCGCGGCGGGGCTGAGACGCGACCAGGACGCGGGGAGGACGGACCAGCAGGACAGACCGACCGGGGGCCCGGCGGGCGGAGGGCAGCGCAGCGCAGCCACGTCCCCCCTGGATCCGCCGGCAGCCGGGCCCGGGGCTTCCGACATGCCCCCCAGGTGGGTTCTCAGACTCGGCACCGGGAGGGACAGGGGACCCGGACAGCCCGGTCCTCACGCGCCGGCCGCCACCGGTGCATCCTCCGGCGCGGGCGCCCCAACGCGGCTGGCGTTCAGGACTCCGGGTGTCGCCCCTCGAGGACTCAGGACCGCCGGGCTGCTGCTCTGCGCCGGGTTCACCGCGGGGTCAGCGGCCCGGGGCCGACTCTGCCCGCACATGGGCTGGAGAGGCGAAGGGAAGGGAAGGGGAGCTGGCGGGCGGGGCTGGCAGGGGCGCTGCCCTGGCACAGCTCGGCGCCTGGCAGCGGGGCGGGTGGGGCGCCGGCTAGGAGCTGCCACCGCCACGGGGAGGGAAGCCGGGTCGGTCAGCGGCCGCAGGTAACGGGCCGCCAGGCCCTGCGGGCCAGGCGGGGAACAGGGTGGGCGGACGAACGAGCGGGCAGGGGAGCTCAGGGCTCGGCTCAGGCCCCAGGGCCGCCTGGCTGCCGAAATTGGGGGCCGAGAGGAAAAGTTGAGAGTCGAGGGACGGGGGCTGGCGCGCTTCTCCGGGCCTGTCTGAAGTTGGGAAACTTTTCCCCAAGTTTGGGGCGGCGGAGTTCCCGCGGAGAAGGGGCCGAAGGGAGCTGGGGAGGGAGGCGCCGGGCCCGCGAAGGCAGGGCCGAGGCCGAAGCCGGGGCCGGGACGCGCGGGTGGGGCGCAGGCCGGGGTCAGGGCCGAAGCCGGCTGTGCGCTGTGCCCGCCCGGGGCGCTGCCCCCTCCCTCCCCTGGGAGCTGCGTGGCTCCCCCCTCCCCCCCACCTGCTTCCTGCCTCAGCCTCCTGCCCCGATATAACGCCCTCCCCGCGCCGGGGCCGGCCTTCGTGCTCTGCCCGCCACGGCTGCCTCTGCGTCCGCTCCCCGCGCCGCGGCCCTGCCCCGGCCCCAACTGAGGGCCTGACAGCCCCCAGGCAGGGCGGCGCCACGGCGGGCACCGCGCTCCCCTCCACTGGATCACTTCCCCCAGCTGGGGCAACTTCTCCCGAGGCGGGAGGCGCTTTGTACTCGGCTCCCTAATATCCCAGTTGGGCAAACTTCTCGGCCCTGAATGACTTTTCCTGAAGCGGACATTTTCCTCAAATCGGGTAACTGTCTCCGAAGGGGTCACTTCCCCCAAACAGTTTTCTCCTAGGAAGTTCCCAAGACCCAGCCCGTGGGCCCGGTGGCATCCGGGCCTGGGTGTGCAGGCCAGCCTGGCCTCCTCTCCACCAGCCACTCTCCTGAGCCTTCTTCTGGTCCAGGCCACCGGCCCAGACTTCCACACTAGGAGGCCGCCGATCCTCTGCTAGTGTCCAGGCCGCCGGTGCTCGATGCCCCTGCCCAGCTGAGGGGAAGGGGAAGGGGAAGTTGGCTCGGGGGGAGAAGCACCCAGCTGGATACAGGCAGCGGGGGCTCGGCGAGGCTCTGACCCGGCTGCTGTGTGTCCCTGCAGGAGAGTGTGCTGGGCAGACGATGCTGGACACGATGGAGGCGCCGGGCCACTCGAGGCAGCTGCTGCTGCAGCTCAACAACCAGCGCACCAAGGGCTTCTTGTGCGACGTGATCATCGTGGTGCAGAACGCCCTCTTCCGCGCACACAAGAACGTGCTGGCGGCCAGCAGCGCCTACCTCAAGTCCCTGGTGGTGCATGACAACCTGCTCAACCTGGACCATGACATGGTGAGCCCGGCGGTGTTCCGTCTGGTGCTGGACTTCATCTACACCGGCCGCCTGGCTGATGGCGCGGAGGCGGCGGCGGCAGCGGCCGTGGCCCCGGGGGCCGAGCCGAGCCTGGGCGCCGTGCTGGCCGCCGCCAGCTACCTGCAGATCCCCGACCTCGTGGCGCTGTGCAAGAAGCGCCTCAAGCGCCACGGCAAGTACTGCCACCTGCGGGGCGGCGGCGGCGGCGGCGGCGGCTATGCCCCCTACGGGCGGCCGGGCCGTGGCCTTCGGGCCGCCACGCCCGTCATCCAGGCCTGCTATTCGTCCCCAGCCGGGCCTCCGCCGCCGCCCGCCGCCGAGCCGTCTTCGGGCCCCGAGGCCGCAGTGAACACGCACTGCGCGGAGCTGTACGCCTCGGGTCCCGGGCCGGCCTCGGCGCTCTGCGCCCCGGAGCGCCGCTGCTCCCCGCTCTGCGGCCTGGACTTGTCCAAGAAAAGCCCGCCGGGCTCCGCGCCTCCAGAGCGGCCGCCGGGCGAGCGCGAACTGCCCCCGCGCCCAGACAGTCCTCCCAGTGCCGGCCCTGCAGCCTACAAGGAGCCACCGCTCGCCCTGCCACCGCTGCCGCCGCTGCCCTTCCAGAAGCTGGAGGAGGCTGTACCGCCTCCGGACCCGTTCCGTGGCGGCGGCGGCAGCCCGGGACCCGAGCCCCCCGGCCGCCCCGACGGGCCCAGCCTTCTCTACCGCTGGATGAAGCACGAGCCAGGCCTGGGCAGCTACGGCGACGAGCTGGGCCGGGAGCGCGGCTCCCCCAGCGAGCGCTGCGAGGAGCGCGGCGGGGACCCGGCCGCTTCGCCCGGGGTGCCCCCACTGGGCCTGGCGCCGCCGCGCTACCAGGGCAGCCTGGACGGGCCAGGCGCGGGCGGCGACGGCGACGACTACAAGAGCAGCAGCGAGGAGACGGGCAGCAGCGAGGACCCCAGCCCGCCCGGCGGCCACCTCGAGGGCTACCCGTGCCCGCACCTGGCTTATGGCGAGCCTGAGAGCTTCGGCGACAACCTGTACGTGTGCATTCCGTGCGGCAAGGGCTTCCCCAGCTCGGAGCAGCTGAACGCGCACGTGGAAGCTCACGTGGAGGAGGAGGAGGCGCTGTATGGCAGGGCCGAGGCGGCTGAGGTAGCGGCGGGGGCCGCCGGCTTGGGGCCCCCTTTTGGAGGCAGTGGGGACAAGGTCGCTGGGGCTCCGGGCGGCCTGGGCGAGCTGCTGCGGCCGTACCGCTGCGCGTCGTGCGACAAGAGCTACAAGGACCCGGCCACGCTGCGGCAGCACGAGAAGACGCACTGGCTGACCCGGCCCTATCCTTGCACCATCTGCGGGAAGAAGTTCACGCAGCGCGGGACCATGACGCGCCACATGCGAAGCCACCTGGGCCTCAAACCCTTCGCGTGCGACGCGTGCGGCATGCGCTTCACGCGCCAGTACCGCCTGACCGAGCACATGCGCATCCACTCGGGCGAGAAGCCCTACGAGTGCCAGGTGTGCGGCGGCAAGTTCGCACAGCAACGCAACCTCATCAGCCACATGAAGATGCATGCCGTGGGTGGCGCGGCAGGCGCAGCCGGGGCGCTGGCGGGCCTGGGGGGGCTACCCGGCGTCCCCGGCCCCGACGGCAAGGGCAAGCTCGACTTCCCCGAGGGCGTCTTTGCTGTGGCCCGCCTCACGGCTGAACAGCTGAGCCTGAAGCAGCAGGACAAGGCAGCCGCGGCCGAGCTGCTGGCGCAGACCACGCACTTCCTGCACGACCCCAAGGTGGCGCTGGAGAGCCTCTACCCGCTGGCCAAGTTCACCGCGGAGCTGGGCCTCAGCCCGGACAAGGCGGCCGAGGTGCTGAGCCAGGGAGCGCACCTGGCCGCGGGACCGGACGGCCGGACCATCGACCGTTTTTCCCCGACCTAGAGCGCCTCTTGCCGGCCCGACTTGTCGCCGCCGCGTGGCCCCGGCCCGTGTCCGCAGGGAGCGGCGGTGGCGGCAGCCGCGAGCAGGCACACCGCGCACGGACAACTGTAGTAGCATCGGCAGCGTCGCCGCGGTGGCGGCGGCCCCACCTGGCCTCACTGCTTTGTGCCTTAGCCCCGGGGTGGGGGTGGGGGGTGAAACCCCGGGACAGGGGTGGGATGGGGGAAGGGAGATTTATATTTTTGATATCAGCTTTGACCAAAGGAGACCCCCGGCCCTTCTCCGCCTCTTCCTGTGGTTCGTTGGCCCCCTCCCCCGGCTCCGTGCTGCTCTTGGAGGGAGGGGTGTCACTGATGGGGCGCTCCCAGCCCTACCTCCGGCCCTTGCGACCACACCCATTCTCACTGTGAATCTCCCTGCTGGGGTCGGAGCGTCGGGCAGAGTTGGGGAGTGGGGAGGGGACTGAGCCGGCCGGAGGGCCCCCCCGCCCCCCCCCGCTCCCGCCAGCCCCGGGACTGATAATGTGAAGTTCCTCATTTTGCACAAGTGGCACTAGCCCCAGGGCCAACCCTTCCCTCCCTCTGGGATCCGAGGGCTGAGGCAGCCCTAGCCTACCGGTCTCCCACTCCCGCGGTGTCCTCCCCCTTCCCCTGGGGCCCCGGACCATATTTATTGCATGCGCCCCGGGCAGCCCCCCACCTCGAGCCCAGGCTGGGCTGGGCTGGAACGTGGTCTCTTTAGCTCCCTCCTCCCCAGTTTGTATATTTCCTACTTTGTACACAGGCTCTTCCAGAGCCGCTTCCATTTTCTATACTCGAACCAAACAGCAATAAAGCAGTAACCAAGGACCCTGGACCCCGCTCCTCTCTTCTGCCCTGCACAAGGCCTGGGTGGGTGGAGGGGCCAGACTTGTACCCTCATACAGGTGCAGAGAGAAGCTCAGGCCTTCTTCCCTCCCCGATCCCAGAGACAGATGGGCAAGAGCTCAGGCATGTTCGTAACTAAAAATTTATTGAGGGAAACAAAACCAGTGCTGCAAATGGGACAGAAAGGAGAGACAGGTCTCCCACCCACCCAGTCATTGGCCTTCATCCAGGGGAGAGGGTCTCAAAGGAGAGGCTGGGACCCTGTACCCCAAAGAGCCAGTCTTCTGAGGCCCTGAACCACTGGTGGCTCTCCTCCACAGTACCCCCTCCTTCTGGTATAATCCTGGGCCTCAGGGAGGGTACAGCTTCACTCCTGTCCTCTGGACAGGCTGTACAGTCCAGACAGGGAGCTCTGGGGGATTCCCCCTCGGGTCCCATCAAAATTTGCTCCTGGCTCCTCAAAGCCCTGTCTTCCTCCAAGTTCCTCTCACCCCAGGCCCTGGCTTGGGAGAACCCATTCCCAGTAGGAAGCCTCTGAGTGAGGCGCTGGACACAGGTGCCAGCTAAAGACGCAACAAAAACCTCAAAGGCCAAAAGGCCCCTGTGTCAACTTCTGCTAGGGCAAAGCTAGAAACGGTGCAAGCTCCAGGCTAGGCAATGCCCCTCTCAGGCACTGGCCCATCTTACCCTCAGGTGGTACTGCAGGAGCCTGGAAGTTTCTCAGAGCGCAGCGGCCTGAGAAAAGTGGTTTGGGCAGGAACGCTTTATTAGGTTCCTGCCACAGAGAAGGACGAGGTACCAGAGGAGGAAAATTCAGAGGGGGATCCCCCATGGCAAGGACCCGGCGTGAAGAATTTGAGGGGATCAGGGAGGTGAGAGGCATCACCAGAAAGGGAAGGGGGGCAAGGGGAGGATTCAGGAGAGAGAGAGGGAGAAGAGAGGAGGGGGAACTGAGAAAAGTGTGAAGAAATTTCATGAAATGGGAACTAGAGCAAAAGGAAGGCCAATGAGCGAGAGGGAGCAGGCAAAGGCCACCCAGGAAGCATGAGCCTGAGCCCAGATGTCCCTTCCCTCTAGACCCATGACCATCCAAGGGGAAATGAGTGGCAAAGTGTAATGGACCCAGATGGATAAGGGCAGGAAGAGGAGCAGGGTGGGTGTGTGTTTAGGATCGGGGGTAGGAAAGGTGGGGCCTAGGGCTGCTGTTTGGGATCTAGCGTTCAGAACCCAACCTGGGTCCACGGGGAAATCCAGGCCTCCGAGAGAGACGCGCACCTGGGGACTCTCTTCACGGCATGACCAAAGCCTCTTGGGACGCATTCAGGACAGGGGTCTGAACATTTGAAGGGACCCGTCATTTCACCTGCACCTGATGGAAATGCAACCCCTACCCTATCTCCAGCTGAGAAAGTGGCTGAGTCCCCGCGCTGAGAAGGCCTTCCCCGAGCCTTTGAACTAGTCAGGAGGAGGGAGAAAGGCTGAGACCGTGGGTGGCCGATCTGGCTCACCCACCTGCTGTCACTGCAGCCAGACACCTCCCTGCTAAATCTTGGCAGCCCAGGAGGCTCCCAGCAGCTTCCGCCCGACCCTCAGGAGGGGCTCTGTGAGGAGCAGCTCCCCCACAGCACGGCCACGGCGTGGGTTGGAAGAGGATGGTTTATTGTCTGGGTGGATTGGTGGCTCAGGCACGTGGGCATCTTCGTTGCTACACTGGGCGCCTGGTGGCCTCTCAGGAATGGTTCCGGGGGGGACCCCGATGCGGCCCCCTCAGCCCACCTGGGCCCACGTGAGGAAGGCTGGGATGTCCCGCACAGGCACATTCCTCGTCAGTGCCTTCACACGCAGGTTGCGGTCATCCGTCAGCAGCACCACCTCCCGCAGTAGCCGGATTGGCTCCTCTGTAGGCACGAGAGAGCAGAAGGACTTCAGTGAGGGCAGGCGGCAGAGGCACATGCTGCCTCTCCTCTCTCTGGGGGTTGGGGTGGGGGTGTGGGGATGTGGTCCTGTAGGGGTCAGGGCTGGTCATTTCCTGGCCCTTCTGTAAGTCTTTCCCTCACGCAATCAGCCGAGGCTACCCTCCCCTATCGGCTTAGAGAGGACCGTGCTGGGCCAGGGCTGGCCTTGTCCTTCAGACCCCCGCCTCCAGCACAGGGCTGTGTTGCCTGGTGCCCAGAGACCTGCCCAAGCCACTTGCCTCCACAGACCCCTCTCCTGGGACGCTGGACTGAGGGGACAGAAGGGGCCCCTTTCCTTCTACTCCTTCCAACTGTATGGCTGGTCCTGGACTCACAATTACTCCTCTCTCTTTGTACATCCTCTCCCTCCAAGGTTAGCAGGCCAATGTTTTAGGTATTAAAAGGCAGAAAGTTCAAGATGGAGTCCACAGTGTATCCAGGCTCCCAGAGGTGAGAAGAGGGGTTAGTTTAGGGGAGCTCTAAGGAAAGGAGGGCCAGGGTCCCTGGCAGAGCTGCGCCGAGGTGGCCCCGAGCTACAGTCCAATGATTTCCTCCATTACATGAAAGTAATCCATGTAAATGGTGAGAACCTTGAACAGTAGAGAAGAGGACAAAGGAAAGGAAAAGTCACAGCCATCCACCCGGCTCTCTCCCTTCGTGTGTCTTGCTCCCGAGGGCATGCTTTTCGATTTCTATACACACGTGTATGAGTACACACACTTGTTACATAAGCTTCTTTCCTACATTATGATCATACTAGCCATATTTACTTTATTCAGATTTTACATATTTTAAAGCTCTATATCAGCACAGGCAGCCTTTGTTCTTTTTAGATGACCTCTTAGCAAGATGTCTTCCACTACCTCTCTTCCCCTAATTCCTCAACCTCTTAATGTACCGGGGAGAAATTAAACCAGGGCCAAGTACCCACGCAAGCGACATCCCACCCCTGGGCAGACCGCTTGGTGGCAGGCCCACCCCTCAGTCCCAGGCTGGGTATTTCCTGACGGAGGTCCGTCTGGCAGACAGTGAGGCACAGGAAATGTCCTGCGGGGCTTGCTGACTGCGGGGGGGCTGGCGGGGCTGGGCAATTGCAAATGTCCAGGTCAGACCTGAGCGGTTTTAGGCTCGCCAGCTCCAGGCAGGGAGGCTGAGAACTGGCTGTCAGCCTGGGAGGAGTTTGGGGGAAGAGGGAGGAGGAGGCTGACGCCGCCGCTGGTGAGCAGAGGGGAGAGGTAGAAGGAGGAGGGGTGGGAGGTGAGGGGCTGCGGTGGGCAGACAGGGAGAGGATGGCAGCCGAGCAGACAGGATGCACGGAGCCGGAGCCAGCTCCACTGCCTGGGCCTGGGCCTGGGCCCTCTGGCGTGGTGGTGCTGGGCTGTGCTATGTGGGGTTCCCGGCTGGCTGCTCAAGGCAGCCCCGCCGCTCCTGCCCTGGGGCTCGGACCAAGAGAGTCCCAGGCCTTAGGTCAGTTGACTAAGGCCCTGCATTGCTGGCAGGGGTCTGCAGGGGTTTCTGTGGATACTTTCAGACATTTTTAACAATAAACATCCTCTGTTTTGACACTGGTAACTTCACTTTGTTAGAAACCAGAGACTGTCATCTTGTCAGGCCCCATCCGCCATAATCCACATGATTTTAAAATTCAACATCGTTTACATATAAACATTTAGTGACGGTTTCTCTGTGAATCTGACAAGTTAATCTGCTAAGAATTCACACTGACAAATGGGGTTTGATTACACTAGCCGTTGCTGATGTAATTCTGATAGGGGCGGTCCCCAGGATGGCAATGGGTTCCTGTAGGCTGTTTGGGGTGAAGTGGGGGGTGGTGGTGGTGGAGAGACTAGTGAGGCGAGAGCCAAAATGTGTCTCTGCTGAGAAAGAAACAGCTCTGCGGCTGGGTGGGGCCGCAGCAGGACCCGCACTACACTTGCCAAGAAGGCCTGCAGTCCTGCCTGCCTCTCTCTCAGAAGGTGCCCTCTAGGAAGCTGCCTGGGAGCGGAGCACACGCTCCCTGACTGGTTCAGCCGGTGTGGCTCTGAGGGACAGAACGTATGAGCCACATGGCGGGACCCCCACGAAGAACACTGGGTTCATTACCAGCTCCTGGTGCAGAGACTCTGGCAGGAGCGGCGGGGGGGAAGACAGTGCCCCGACTAGTCTGAAAGCCAGGGCTAGGACACTGAGCAGGGAAGGGAGATAGGTGACCACAGCTAAAGGAAAAGAACAAGACGTAGTCCCCTATACGTAGAGAGAGACCCAGTGGTAAGGATGACCGAGTCTGTGGATGACACGGAGCTAGGACATCCTAGGAAGAAACAGCAGAGTCGTGGGAGCCAGGAGCAGAA